GGTACCCTGCACCGTGGCAATGGGAAATCATTAGATGCTTAAAACCCACCATAATCACCATTTTCCATCCTATAAACCCTCCATTTTCCATCCTATAAATCTCCATCCACATGGGATTTTCCATGGGGATTTTCCACCTGGAATCCCCGGAGAACTCCCACGTCACCGTCCTGGGATCCGGCCAAAGCCACCAGAATCTCCCCGGCCATGTGAAAGGTATCCGCCTGGCGTGGCTGCAGAACTTCGCCATTGCGAATGGCGAGTTTAGGACAGGTGGTACTTGGTGGCTCATCCCACTTAGTAGGTTATATCCCTGGTTCTAAGTGGGATAAGTAGGGTTAATCTACAACTGGGGTGACCTATTTACTAAGTGGGATGAACCACCAAGTAGGGTCAACATATGTTTTGTTTGATCGTTTAACCATGGAAAAACAAATAGCCAGCAATGAATGGGAACATATATAAAAGGAATATGGTGCGATAAATGGTCATAGTTCACCGACCTGAAGTAAAGCCTTTTCCAGGACATAACCTCAACCATTAATTAGATTATAATAAGCAATCATATACTCATTAAATAGTTCTGCTCTAAACCACCAACCAAGCCAGGTGTGGTTGAAACTGGTACCCATAAACTTCCGTGCGGGGGGTTAACAGGACGGTATTTTCAGCATTGAAAGTCACATTCCCTTGCGCCTGCCAGCGAAAATTGCGTTTTTTTAGGTTCAACATTTCTCCAAAATCAGCATGTTTTTCGAAAAAACACAAACGCGTTTTACCACAGTTTTGGAACCTCTTGTCGGTCAAATTCACTTTTTACCGTCACATCTTCGCTTGCTTTTTAAGTTGCTTGGCAGTCGCTTGGCACGCAGACCCTGCTGCGCTTTGAGCGCCATTGCCATTGCCGCACATAGGCCATCAAATCTTTGTTAGCAAGTGCAAGCGAAGATTTTGTTAACCTAGCAAAACTGTAGCTAGCAAGTGCAAGAGATCTTTGTAACATAGCATGAAGAGAGTCAGCAAGTGCAAGAGAAGATCTTGGAACGAAGCACGAAGATAGTTAGCAAGTACAAGAGAAGATCTCGGAAACGTAGCATGAAGACAGTGTGCAAGTGCAAGAGAAGATCTTGGTACCGTAGCATGAAGATAGTGTGCATGTGCAAATGAACGTCAATAGCCCTCCCACCACCACCTCCCACCCACCCCACCCTGTTGTATGCAAGTGCTGTTAACGTAGCATGAAGATAGTTAGCAAGTGCAAGAGAAGATCTTGGTCACGTAGCATGAAGATAGTGTGCAAGTGCAAGAGAAGATCTTGGTAAAGTAGCATGAAAATAGTTAGCAAGTACAAGAGAAGATCTTGGTCACGTAGCATGAAGATAGTGTGCACGTGCAAGAGAAGATCTTGGTATCGTAGCATCAAGATAGTTAGCAAGTACAAGAGAAGATTTTGGTCACGTAGCATGAAGATAGTGTGCAAGTGCAAATGAACGTCATTAGCCCTCCCCACCGCCACCTCCCACCCCACCCAGCCTGTTGTATGCAAGTGCTGTTAACGTAGCATGAAGATAGTTAGCAAGTGCAAGAGAAGATCTTGGTCACGTAGCATGAAGATAGTGTGCAAGTGCAAGAGAAGATCTTGGTAAAGTAGCATGAAAATAGTTAGCAAGTACAAGAGAAGATCTTGGTCACGTAGCATGAAGATAGTGTGCACGTGCAAGAGAAGATCTTGGTATCGTAGCATCAAGATAGTTAGCAAGTACAAGAGAAGATCTTGGTCACGTAGCATGAAGATAGTGTGCATGTGCAAATTAACGTCAATAGTCCTCCCCACCACCACCTCCCACCCCACCCCACCCTGTTGTATGCAAGTGCTGTTAACGTAGCATAAAAATAGTTGGCAAGCGCAAGAGAAGATCTTTGTCACGTAGCATGAAGAATCATGAAGATAGCGTGAATGTGAACATGAACGTTCATAGCCCACCCCACCCCCCTAAACCCCCCACCCCCCAGCCCAGCAAAAACAATGAAAAATCTTGTCCGGCTTCCCCCTCGCTAGCAAAAACTTGCTTTCATAGAAACCATGATAAACTGATGATAAACCAGTGGATTTGGGGCAGCAGCTACAAACCTCCATGGCTAGGCCACGGGGATTTCCCAGCGGCCCGCCATGTTTGATTATCCACTCAAATTCCAGTTAAATCCCATTGAATTCCAGAAATCCCTATGTGTTGATGGTTGGTCCATATGATTTTCCTATGATATCCCATTTAGGGTTCCATGATGGTTTCATTATCGTCATATCTCACATTAATTATATCCGTATATATTCCATGGACTAAACAAAAACACCCTTTGCTTACGTAACATTGCTATGGAAAATAACCCATAGAAATACATGATTCATGTTGATTTCTGATGATTTTACATCTAAAAAAGTAGTGATGTTCCAGTTTGCTATGTTAAACAACCAAAAGGTATATCTATATCGCCGTTGCGGTTGGACCTGCCTCGCCGCTGGAGCCATGCCCGCTTCCGGCTTGGCATAGAAAGTGACACAGGGCCAGAACCTGAAAAAAAAAGGATTTTTGGACGTCAAAGATAGGGGGTTCAGATAGTTTTACCATGTTCAACCATCAAAAACTGGACATTTTTAGAGGTTCAACGGCAGCGTCGCTCAGCGACACGACCACCCCGGAGCGTTCCGCTACCGCTACTCGGTCGCATTGGCATGCGCAGTTGCTGTGGTAGGAAACCCTGGGTGACCTTGTTGTTGGTTCTGTTGGGTTTGTTGTTGTTGATTGTTGTACCCAAAGGTTTGGCACATGGTTTGTATAATCTGTTTTAGTCTGCTTTAACCTGGTTTAACCTCATTTGGCACAAATGTTCTCTAACCTGAAAATGCATGTGGATGTGTATTTGGGGGTATTTAATAACTATTATTCTAGTTTTTACCAACCAAAATTTGGTTGTTTTTTTTGCAGTCCAGGAGCTCTGGACCAGTGGCATAGATTGACCACATGCGCGGATTTATTGCAACAAACCACCTGGAATTCGGGGGTTTGACCATCCAAAATGTTTTTTTTTCACAGGCAAACTGTTTTGTTTAATCACATGTGTTCTTGCCTCAATTTCCATGTGTGGGTGGTTAAATTTCCATTGTTTTCTCTAAAACTAGTGACAAATAAACTCAAGAATAATAATCCCAGGTTTACCCAATGATAAACCATTATTAAAATCCATACCCCCAGAAGGAGTTGACAACTACTGTTTCTGGGTGAAATGATTGTGATGAAACCAATTTAGCAAAACCCTTTCAGCCATCCATTATTTCACCTATTCCCTTGTTTCAAGTTGAATCCCCATGTTTGGCCGGCCACATTCCCCTTTTCCTGATTATAATATGGAATCCATCTGAATCCATAATTTATCCTGGTGAAATCCCACTTGTTTAGCCTTTTGTAGACTAAATACCATTTTTCCTGGTTAAATCCTTGTAAAATTATGAATTTCAATGGTTCACCCAGGGTTAAACTCGGCTTTTTTGCCCCACCCCATGTCAGCTGTCAGCTCCGCGGCCCCTTTCGCTGCGCCCGGCTGGGAAACCCGTGCGCTCTCCTGTGACAGGACGCTGTGCATCTGGGCGGTGATCTTGGACCAACCTCGGGTAGACCCGTGGTGAGCGGCTTGCAGCTTGCCTTTTGAAGGCAAGCACCATAGATGGGCATAGGTCAAAATTAAGGACCTTGGGGGACCACAAATTTTAGACAATTTTTACTATTAACCATCCAATGATTGGGGTGCCTCAGTTTGACCCATACCAAGATAACACCGTTGGACACCTGGAAAAGTACCCTCTGGCTATATAATGTAGCGAAATGGAAAAGCATAATTGTTCAACAGGTAAACCCACAATTATATATTTTTCAATTCATCTATATACCACAGGAGAAGCATCGACTTTTTGCTACATCCGGAAAATTATCCCGGCAAGAGACCCCAAACAGTGTGGGGGGAGTAGGAGGATAATGTATTATAATGTTGTTGTTGATGATGATGATGATGGTGATGATGATGATGATGTTGATGAGGGTGATGATGATGATGATGATGATGATGATGATGATGTTGATGTTGATGAGGGTGATGATGATGATGATGATGATGATGGCGATGGTGATGAGGAGGATGATGATCATTGGCCCAGAACTTAGGACCACGCTTTGTCCGAGCCTGCGCAGTCGAAATGCATGTCCACATGTCACAAGAGACATCAGAAGAGCCACTTTTACATAAATTTACAGGAAACATGCCGCAGACCAAAATGAGCCCAGAACGCAAACGAACACTTTGTGCGAGCCTGCGCAGTCGAAACGCATGTCAAGATTTCACAAGAGCCACTTTATACGGAAATCTACAGGTAAAATGCCGCAGGCCAGAGTGAGCACCCTGATCAAGCACCGGCCTTTACTCCGACCGTAAGAACCCCTCAGTGTGGACACACTGTTTGGGGGCAAACCACGAAGTATACCTGAAATCCATGCTTTTGGGTTTTTCAATGTTTTTCATGGATATTCTGTTCTTAGGAAACTGGTGGGCTTTTCCCAGTAAACATGAAGGTACGCCCTGCAAATGTTAGTTACTTCTGACCAAGTCTGGAAAATAACAAATGGTGAGTTTTGTGGCTTGGACATCCGCATGTTGAAGATTACAGTAGACATCCGGTTTTTGCTGGTTAAATCCATCAAAATTCCTCTGTCCTTGTCAGCTAAAGCCACCCTTTCCCTGTAGTAAAATAACCCCAAGAGCTATAGCTTTGTAAAGAACATTGTAAAGGACATTGCTTACTCCGACTCAACAGCCCACATGGGGATTTCCACAAATGGAGGTACCCCCAAATGGATGTTTATGTATAAATGGATAATACCATTAAAATGGATGATTTGGTGCTACCCCTCTATCAAGAAATATCAGGCCATTCACCAAGTGCGAGATCAAACTTACTGAGAACACAGAGGCCGCGGTGGCATCCTTTTTTGACCGCAAGCCAGGAGGGTCTGGATGACATCAGTTTCCTTAGGAGTCTTCCAGAAAAAACAGTGGTTCCACTAATGCCAGGCGGATCAACGGGTGTGAAGTGCACACAGCAAAAACAGTGGTGGTGTTATATTTGACTAAAATCTCCACCTCTTCAGTGGCTGTAGACCCTGATTGTATCTACTTTCTTGGCGAATCCACAAAAACAGATCGTCTTAACCTCTTTCTCCCATCGGATCTGTTCCAAGATTCTCTGGAAGGTGCTTCCTGCAGCAATGCCACCACGTGTGGCCATTGCTTCCTTGCTTCACAAGCTGTCAAGGCTGAACCTCAAATTCACCGCGGATGGGGTTTTCACATGTTTTCACAACAATAGATGGGCAATAGACTCACAATGGAAACACAATAAACAACCCCAAACGGATTATAGTGCTTCTTATGGGTTCTACATAACCCCATTGGGGTTGTGTAAAACCACGATTTTAAACACCACAATGATCCATCACCTCTGGCGTCGGGAAATCCCACTCGTCATGGAGATGTTCATGGCAAAATTGATGAACACCTCGACAAATCCTGGGAAATCCCCAAGAAATGGAGGTTTATAGCTGGGAAAATCATCGAGCAAGCCATGGAGCTGCTCAAAGATGAATGGATTCATTTAAGGGACATGTTGCAGGAATCCCTCAACTTATCCCATATCTAATGGAAACAACACATATATATATATATATATATATGGCTTCCTGTAGATGTTCCATTAAACCAACCCAGTGAAAAGATCGAGGAACTGTAGGTAATCATATTTCCCTCCGCTGTGCATCTCGTCATCAGAGAGAAGTGAAATACCGCATGTTGCCACTGCATTGCTCCAGCACATGCACTGATGGCAGCAGTTGATGAAACGACGTTGCCTCTCATCCCAGAGCTTTCCTCAAGAGCAAACGGCATCGTTGGCGCAGTACCACATGGCAGTATGGAAAACAAGACTTTAAGATACTTTAAGGCTAAAGTAACTCCGATATTTCTAGATGCTGACTCAGAAAGGACTTACATAATATATATATAGTACATATATATATATCAAAACAATTTCATCCGCTGTCAAGACACCGACTTTCCTTTACCGGCCTATCACACAAAACAAAAGATGAAACGACAACCGTTCCCTCCTTGGTGGTTCTTTACTTCGTTGCACTGGCGGATCAGCACCAATGGAGTGTTGTTAACTTCCAGGAAGTATGCCAAATAGAGCATACATCTCAGCTCCATCAAATCGGAGCAACACCCCCCCGGAAGTGCCTATAGATGTCCAAAACTCGCAACCATTCCAACAATCCGCGGAGACATACCCTAACAATCTAACATACATTAGGGGAAATCATCACTCGAGGGTGACATCAAGTCAGCAGCATGCAGCTGCAGTAGGGCCAGGAATCCATCTTTGAAAGCAATCTCAGAGCCAGCTGCCATTGGGCAGCTTTTTCACATGCACTGATGACAGCACCTGCGACTGGGGCCCTGGGGCACACACTTCGGAAACTCCTCAAGTTGGGGACACAAGTTGTTGCAGTATGGATACCCTCAAACATGGCAAGCCAGAAAATTCCCGGACTCAATGGAGATTTTTGAATGGGAAAATCATGGAACGAAATTTGGGGATTTTCCAGCAAGCACCTGATGACAAAGTGCATTTCGACCCAGGTCAAGATGGGCCCAACCACCAGGACCATTTGATACTGTGGGAAAGATACCCTGAGGTACTATATCTATATCTATATATAACATATATATATGTGTATATATATATTTATAAATAAATAATATATCCATTTAGATAGATATAGATTATTCCGCTCTGATTTACAACAAATATGACACAATCCACTCTTACCCTTCAATCCCTTCACCCGTTTCAAAGAACGAGGGGCTGTAGCAAATCACATCCGTTTGGATCGAAAAAAACGCCAGCTCTGCCAGACACTGAAGTGCCGCTTCCCAACGGCTGGAATTCCTGGGCTCGGCTTGGCAAAGGTCAAGAAAGCAGGGCCTGGCCTTTCCAGCAAATTCCGGGGATATGGTGATCCACAAAGGTAGGAAGGTAGGAAGGTAGGTAGGTAGGTAGGTAGGTAGGTAGGAAGTCAAAGATATTGCATGTGGAAGCCCAAAGGTACAGTCATATACAATAGATATACTATGATATATTCAAAGAACCAATGCAGGTATAGACTTGAGGGTACTAGCTATCTTGTTGATCCACATTGGAGATACTGACCAATAACAGTGCATCCATTGAACAATCTGGGATCTTCTTTGCAGCTACAGGATCAAGCATGGGCATGGCTGACAGAAGACAAACAGTTTATATTCAAGGTAAACTAACGTAGTCATGGAAAATCCACCGATTGTAAATCTTTTCCTACCGGAAACCATGGATTTCGATTGTGTTCGTTTACCAGCCAGAGAATAAATCCGTAGAATCCTAAATAGTTTTGAGTGTTAAGTCGTGTTGCAAACTCAAAGCGTTTCATCCCCCCAAAAATTATACCCCGTTAAACACCCAAATAGTTGTAATGTGTAAATGGGGATTTCTTAACATGGGGGATTCCCAAAACCATAGGTTTCAATACCAAAATGGTCTAAAATTTTCTCTAAGTTTGGATGATTTGGTGTATTTTTTCCATTTTAGGAACCCTACAAATGGATAAATCAAAGGTATTGACCGTATTGACCGTATTGACCCGTCCGCAATCTCGACTCCACCCATTCGACTTGGGCACTCGTACGCATGGATCAGGGCGCTGTAGAGGATCACCTGGGTCTGGCTCAAGGCCAAGGTTTGGCGGTTGAACCACTCCCCTGAAGCATTGATGTCAGTGATGTCATAGATGTCACAGATGTCATAGTCACTGGGTATCATATCTTCTGTCATTTCTATGGTTTTTTCAACAAGGACCTGGGACTCCCGATAAAAGTGAGTTGCAGAAAACTAGGGAAGTCAGACCTTCAAAGATTGGGGGGCAGGTGCTGATAGTTCAAAGTCTATCTCTCTAATCTGTATATATCTAATAATTAGAGATACCTAAAATCTCATAGATTATATATCTAATATACATATTACAATCTGATAGATTACTGTATATATAATCTCATCTCATCTCATCTAATCTATCTACTGTATCTACCTATATGCTCAGGCTTAATAAATTGCTAGTACAAAACGAGGAATGCCATGTGACATTTTGAGGCGTACACCTCACACTTCGATGTGAGCCAGGTCACATTCCTTCGAAGCGACTGCGCCAGCGCTTCCTCGAAGAGCACCAAGGCGTGACGCCACATGGCGCGCTTGGACATGGCGCTCAAAACGCTGCCGAAACCCATGAGATCCTGGGGAAAGCTGGAAAGGATAGGAAGCTGTGGATTTAAGGCCCACCCAATAAAGAAATATGACACATACACACACACATATATATATATATACATATTTCCTATGCGCAGATGCCAAAAAATATGCATTTTTATATGTATTTATATATAAATATATGTATATGTATATATATGTATACATATAATATGTATATATATATATATGTATATGTATATGTATATATATATATATATATGTATATGTATATATATATATACACATATAATATGTATATATATATATATATATGTATATATATAATATTCTGGGTAAATGACAATAATTCACTAACCTGAAATATATTTCCATTTTGGGATGATTCCCCTTATTAACCATGATTGCAGTGAGGTCGCAGTGAGGTCGTTATAATTTACCCATATATATATATATACACCATGTATCTGCAGCATATGTTATGTATGTATGTGTATATATATATATAGTTTATTGTAGTTTTACATGCCATATGTTGGAATGGAAGTAAGCAAACATATTTGAAACCGCCAAGGTCAGAAAACACTAGTTTGCTTGTCCAAATGGGCATCTAAAGTCTGAACGAAAAAAACCCAGATGGCATTTTGACCACGAGGGGGATTCCTACAGTTCTGGCCCGACATACCATTTATAAGTGTTTATAACCCCATTTATGGAATGTATAATCCCATTTATAACCAGCTCTTTCACCATTTAGAATTGGTATAACTCGGGTCATATTTTTTTTTATGCAAAGTGGTGGGCCAGAACTATGGGCCATCACTGAATTGTTCATGGGAAATCCACAGGACCCCGGAGGCATTGTGACAATTTTTTGGGGGGTTCCATGGCTGGGTCCAATAGCTGGATGGTTCATGATGGGGAAAAAAACAGTTTAAAATGGGATGATTTGGGGGTCCCCCCATAAATATCCATAAACTGGAAAGCCTCGTAGAATTCACCCTGATTTTAGGTCATTGTACCAACATGGACTGACATGCACTAACCATCACTTGTAGTGACTTCGCAGTGAGGTCGTTGTAATTTCCTCTATGCCGTCCACCAGCTAGAACAAAAGGGTGATCACAGAAACCGTGGTGAATTGAATCTCCAAACTGCCTGAAAACAAGCCAAGACAATAATGAATTGATATATTAACCCAATTATGTTGAAATCTCCAAGTACTTCTATGGTTTGCACAATCGTTGCTGGAATTCTTGATCTATTCAAGGTAGGACAAAAATGCCAATCACACCACCATCGAGCATCTCTTTGAAGCTGTCTTTTTCCGAGAGCCTTGGAAAAGAACCACTGCTGTTTCGGGCATGGGCTGCAACTGGCATCATTCCACTTCTTTTCGTAGAAAATGACATGCACCATGCAATTTTGTAAGATAGACCCCCCAAAATGGTCGTATTCAATGAGTAAAAACATTGTCCAAATCTAATTTTGGGGTTTCCATGTTGAAACATGTTGAACTTACCGTAGGGATCTGTTGTGATATCCATGGGATTCCGTCCTTTCAACAGGGGCGACCGGCTGCATTATAATATACCCTCTGGTAATTTAACATAGCTATTGAACATGGTGATTTTTTGTGGATTTACCCATTGAACATATATATATATATATATATTATGGGTGTAGAATAGTTTTTGTTTTTTTTGCATCAGGTTTGTTTTTTTTTTGTTGGCGTTCTTTCCCGGTACCATTTGCATTGTATTTGCAACAGCTTGGAACTAGAACCTGTCATTTTGCATGGTATTTGCTATATTTTGGCATGGTCACTTTGCATTTTTGCATGGTATTTGCTATGTTTGCCTTCCATTTTGCATGGTATTTGTCACATTTTGGCATTTCAACCTCTCATTTGCATGGTATTTGCTACATTTTGGTGCTTCAAACGTTCATGTGGGTCTCTTGAGGGTTCTTTGGGCTTTCATTTAAGGTTTCATTTAAGGTTTCAATTAGGGTTTTATTCAAGGTTTTATTTGGGGTTTCATTTATGGTTTCTTTAGGGTTTCTTTAGGGTTTCATTTAGGGTTTCTTTAGGGTTTCATTTAGGGTTTCTTTACAGTTTCATTTAGGGATTCTTTACAGTTTCATTTAGGGTTTGATTTAGGGTTTCTTTAGAGTTTCACTTAGGGTTTTTTTCCGGTCGGATGTAGGGTCTCTTATCCGGATTTCTTATCACGATTTCTAAACGTTCAAATGGGTTCCTTTAGGGATTCTTTAGGGTTTCATTTAGGGTGTCATTTAGGGTTTCTTTAGGGTTTCATTTTGGGATTCATTAAGGGTTTCATTTAAGGGTTTCATTTCGGGTGTCATTTAGGGGTTCATTTAGGTTTCTTTAGGGTTTCATTAAAGGTTTCTTTAAGGTTTCATTCAGGAGTCAGTTAAGCTTTCTTCAGGGTTTCATTTCAGGGTTTCTTATCCGGATTTCTTATCACGATTTCTAAAACGTTCAAGTGGGTTCCTTTAGGGTTTCTTTAGGGTTTCATTTAGGGTGTCATTTATGGTTTCTTTAGGGTTTCTTTAGGGTTTCATTTTGGGTTTCTTTAGGGTTTCAATTTAGTGTTTCATTTAGGGTCTCTTTGTGGTGTCAATCTAGGGTTTCAGCTAAGGTGTCAGTTAATGTTTCATTTAATTCTTTTTCAGAGTGTGGTTAGGGTTTCTTTGGGATGTGATTTAGGGTGTCATTTAGAGTCTCTTTAGGGTTTCATTTATGGTTTCTTTAGGATTAATTTATGGTTTCTTTAGGGTTCATTTATGGTTTCTTTAGGGTTCATTTAGGGCTTCATGTAGGGTTTCTTATCAGGATTTCTTTGTGGTTTCTTTGGGTTTGACCTAGGGTCTCTCTAGGGTTTCATTTAGGATACAAACAGACCAGAATAAAGCAAAAGAACATGAAAAACAAAGAGACGGTAAAGACAGGAAGCAAAGAAGCAAAGGAGCAGGAAGTAGAGCAGCAAAAACACATACTGAATAAAATAAAAAGTAGAATAGTAGAAGTAGAAAGGCACAGAAGTACAAAATCAGAGAAGCAGGGAAAACAGAGAAGCAGAAAAGCAAAGAAGCAGGAAAAGCAAAAAAGCAGAAAAGCAGAGAAGCAGGAAAAGCAGAGAAGCAGGGAAAGCAAAAAGCAGAGAAGCAGAAAAGCGGAGAAGCAGGAACAGCAGAGAAGCAATGTAAGCAGAGAAGCAGAAAAGCAGAAAATTAGAGAACCAGGAAAGCATAGAACCAGGAACCCCCAAATCCAAACAAAACCTGCCGCGAAAAAAATCCAAAAATAAAATAAATAGCCCTCCATATATTATATGATCCTCTTGGGAATTCACCTATATAAAGGGTTGAGGTGTCTGATTCTATAGGTACAAAATCAGGACCCCCAAGAAAAAAATGTATTTTTCTAAATATAATCAGGACCCCCAAGAAGAACTCAACTGTACAAAATCGAGGCCTCCAAGGTTCAGTTTGTGTGAAATTTTAAGTAAAAAAAGGGTCTACATTCTACATTGGGTAGGCTGGGTTGGCTACAGAATCAAGAGCCCCAAGCTTAAAACATCAGAAATTTAAGCAAATTTAAGTAAAACCAACCCACTTCTGTCTGACAATGTAGTTGAGACCCCAAAGTCTGTACAGCCTGATCTTGTTTTTTGAAGGGGGTGCAGTCCCTGATTTTATAGCTCAAAAATTAGGGTCGGTGAGGTTCGAGCTAGTGACTTTTGGGGGGTACAGTCCCTGATTAAAAAATGATACCAAGTATTACCAAATGGTTGCCTGATCATATTGTTTTGCACAAGACCCTAACTGTATACAGGACCCTGTCAGTTTTTGTTTTTAAGTGTTTTTTTTAAGCGCTTTTCTATGATTTTCTTTGAATAAAAATCCAGCAAATTCCATAAGAATCCATAAGATTCCAAAAAAAATCAATTACTTTACTTCGTGTGATCCCCACCATGACATTTATACATTTTCTTACTGGCAAATCTTCTGGCATTCTATCTGACATATCTTCTGACATTCTATTTGGCATTCTATCTGGCATATCTTCTGGCATATGATCTGGCATATCTTCTGGCATATCTTCTGGCATTCTATCTGGCAAATCTTCTGGCATTCTATCTGGCATATCTTCTGGCATTATCTGACATATCTTCTGGCATTCATCTGGCATATCTTCTGGCATATATTCTGATATATCTTCTGGCATTCTATCTGACATATCTTCTGGCATATATTCTGACATATCTTCTGGCATATCTTCTGGCATATCTTCTGGCATATCTTCTGACATATCTATCTGGCATATCTTCTGGCATATTTTCTGGCATTCTATCTGGCAAATCTTCTGGCATTCTATCTGGCATTCTATCTGCATATCTTCTGGCATATTATCTGGCATTCTATCTGGCATATCTTCTGGCATATATCTGGCATATCTTCTGGCATTCTATCTGGCATATCTTCTGGCATTCTATCTTGGCATTCTATCTGGCATATCTTCTGGCATATTTTCTGACATTCTTTCTGACATTCTTTCTAACTTTCTTCTGCACATTCTTTGTCCCATATCTTCCTACATGAGGTCCGGCAGGGAACACTTGGCGTGGATACTCGCGGTTGAGGTCCGGCAGGGAACACTGGGCGTGGATGGTCGTGGTTGAGGTCCGGCAGGGAACACTGGGCGGGATGGTCGTGGTTGAGGTCCGGCAGGGAACACTGGGCGGGGATGGTCGTGGTTGAGGTCCGGCAGGGAACACTGAGCGTGGATGGTCGTGGTTGAGGTCCGGCAGGGCACACTGGGCGTGGATGGTCGTGGTTGAGGTCCGACAGAGAACACTGTGGATCGCGGATCGCAGTTGGACGAGGACGACGAGGACGACGAGGACGACAAGGACGACAAGGATGACAAGGAGGACGAGGAGGACGAGGAGGAGAGGAGGAGGAGGAGGACGAGGCAGGAGGCAGGAGGAGGCAACTGACATAAAATCTAACAACCCTCACCTGGCAGGTGGGGAAAAAGATTAAAATAAAATAAAATATATTAAAGTATTATAAATATAATTCTTTAATATTCTATATATGCAAACATCTGTGTAAAATCAAGACCCCCAAGCCTCACAGTGGAAAAATAGGAACAAGGGCTTGATTTTAGAGTGTATTTTAGCATAGTACAAAGATTGAACCCCAAGCCTTGCCTCGAGTCTAGCATAAAATGGAAATCAATATTAAATATGAACCCCCAACACCATATGCACCAAGCTAGCCCCAGTATAAAACGTAGACCTCCAAGCTCGAGTTTGACACCCTGAGACCTGTATAGAATCACAATCCTCCCCAGTGGAGCCCAACCACAGAGGGAAACCCCTGTATAAAATGAACCAGTTTTTGGAGCTCAACCCCCCTGATTTTGTACAGCTATATCCCAGGGGATTATTATATGTATCATTATGTATCATTATATATGACCCATGACACATGATGTACACACAGTGAAAAAAACAAACTCCTGTTGAACACAGCCAGCTGAACCCAACGGGACCCAGAAGCACTGAAGAGCGCAAGGGACATCTGCCATTGTCCACTCTTGTCACACGCACTCAGGACCTAGAACGGAAGACAAAGGGAACACGATTGCACTGCGGATATGGTGGGGATATCATGGTGATAAAACGATTGGATCGTACACTTGGATATAATATGATATAATATTTATATAATCTATATTTATACTTTAGTGTGTCTGAAGCTGGGTATACCTACCAAATCCCAAATCCTCTCAAATGACAAGTTTAATGAGAAAAATCTGACTCTGTGGTGGATTTTGGGGTGGCCTATTTTGAGAACCAAACCAGATTCTGGTTGGAAGAACCTGATAGTCGGCCATGATGTTCAAGCACGTTGAGGCATAGATGCTCTGACCACATACTCCCTCAAATACCCATATGCTCCATGGTGCTGGTATATTCAACTACATTTCTAGGTGATTTTTAAGGTAAATGTTGGTAAATATTCCATACATGGAGCATTTGGGATAATTTGACATTGCTGTAGTTTTAAAAAACACAATGTTTAATAGGATCATCGAACCAAACGGCCATAAACAAATGCCATGTAACAAATTACCAAATGGTCTCCAATATCCAATATTATCCAATTGTAACACCTGTCTATGATTGGAAGGGTGTATTACTGGTTCAGAAGCCTTAGCTGATCATGCCAACAAATTCTGGAAAATAGGGAGGTGTTGCAAATTGTATCCTATACTTATGTATGATTCAGGGGCCAGTGTGTTCTTCAAACATTTCATAAGTCAGCTCATTCCAATTGAATTGCCCAATGCATTTTCAGTTTCAATCTGAAGACCGACATCTTTCAATAGTTTTTTGTCACCATCGATCATCTTTGGCAACGAAACACTGCCCCAACAAAAACAACTAATACATGGCTATGAGGCAAAACCCTGGCACCCAAACGGTACCCTAAAATAGCTGGTTAATTGGGTGTGTTTATTCACTTAAATATGGTAGTAGATGGTAGTTTCATAGATTCATAGATTTTGACCAATCCCCACATCTTGGATCACAAACAGGAAACCATGCTGAAAAAACTTGGATCCACCTGGCATCCAAGTGACAGAGTTGTAGACGATTTCATCAGCCGACTGGCAGCCCTCCAAGTCCTGCTGGTGATCGACGCAAATGTTGGATAAACCAAAGCAAGTATGGAGAATGTACATTGAGCCAAAAAAAAAATACCCTCCAGGGTCATCAAAATTGGCAAAAATCTACAACTGGCTATTCTTGAAGGGACATATCTATAAAAGGAGGATTTTACATTGCCATGATTGATTCCTGGTTGGTGGAATATTAGCGTGATGGTGACGTGCGGGTGACGGGGCTACAAGAAAGCGACAGGATCAACTGGACATACAAATCCGTTAAAGTTAAAGCCTTGAATATTTTTCAATCACTGGGGAGATTCATAAGAAAACAATCCAGGCGAAGCGATGATACAAGAACACGAATCACTGAATGTGCTGAAAACAATGCGATCATTGGCGCTAAAGCCCCCATCTTGGGGTGTGCAATTTCGACCTTGCCCATGCCCATGCCCATATAGACGTGTAGAAAATGAACTCCAACTTCAAAGTTCTTGTGAGATACAGCCGGTGAAAGTAGATTCAAGACTGATCAGCGAGGAAACAATTGTCGACCTGAAACATCGTGAAACAAATGCAAACCAGCTGGCAAAAATGTTCATTTCGGCCCTGACATGCGCTACTAGATGTACATGATCTGATTTTGGACTCTGGAGCTGTCACCACCTTCGTTTGGACTGCCCCAGGTCACCACACTTCCATCTGCCAAAATTGCTGCAAAAGAACTGCTTGTGCAACAGATCTGCTGAACATTCTGCAGCTGATCTTGGACTTCAGAGCTGTCACCACCATAGTCTGGATTGCCCCATGCCACCACGGTTCCATCTGCCAAAATGGCAGAAAAAGCGCAGCCTACGCCACAAATCTGCTGAACATTCCTGAGCTGGTGCTGAACTCTGGAGCTGTCACCGCCATTGTGTGGGGTGCCCCATGTCACGACGCTTCCATCTGCCAGAATAGCAGCAAAAGCATTGGTTGCGCCACAAATCTGCTGAACATTCCTCAGCTGATCTTGGACTCTGGAGCTGTCACCACCAGCATTTGGATCGCCCCAGGTCACCACGCTTCTATCTGCCAAAATGGCAGCAAAAGCAAAGGATGAGCCACAAATCTGCTGAACATTCTTGAGCTGATCTTGCACTCTGGAGCTGTCACCACCACTGCCTCGAGAGCCCCATGTCACGACGCTTCCATCTGCCAAAATGGCAGCAAATGCGACGTCTGTGCCATAAATGTGCTGAACATTCCTCAGCTGCTCTTGCACTCTGGAGCTGTTACCACCAAAGCCTGAACTGCCCCATGTCACCACGCTTCCATCTGCCAAAATGGCAGCAAAAGCAGATCCCGAGCAACAAATCTTCTGAACATTCCTCAGCTGATCTTGGACTCTGGAGCTGTCACCACCAGCATTTGGACGGCCCCAGGTCACCACAGTTCCATCCTCCAAGATTGCAGCAAAAGCATGGTGTGTGGCACAGATCTGCCGAACATTCCGCAGCTGATCTTGGACTCTGGAGCTGTCACCACCACAGTCTGGATGGCCCCACGTCAACACGGTTCCATCTGCCAAGAGTGCAGCAAACGCAGACCAACCCTCTGGTCCAAAAGCACCCTTTGTGCCATAAATCTGCTCAACATTGTTGACCCGATCTTGACCTCTGGAGCTGTCATCAACGCTGTTTGAATGGCCCCATGTAGCAATTCTGCTGCCTCCAACACACCATAGAGCAAACGCACTACGACCTCCAACAATCTTTGGCTGCTGTACAACAGCAGTAAGGCTGTCTCCATCTTGAAGCCCAGAAAGTCTCAAAGAGTTCGTTGGATCTAAAAGGCGTCCATCAGGCGCAGCAAGCTTCAGGAAACCCTGCCCCAAGGAGTGTTGTGCAGCCAGTTTCAAGTCGGCAACGGTGCCACACTGCGAGACCACGACAGTTTCACACTGTCCACTTGGCAAAGACACTTCAAGTTTGATGGAACTGTCAGCCGCATGACCGCTCGAGGACCTGCTGTCCATCGCGATGCAGCCTTGCAGTATATTAATTTAAGTTATTCATTGGATATTACAATCATCAGAGCAAATGCTGATCTTGGAATCTTACAGCAGGGCTGGTTGCCACTAGTAGTGGTCACTGGAGTCCCTTCCGGATCCGATCGGACTGCATAAAGGTCATCCGTCTTCTTCGCATATGATGAGTTGCCACCCAAAAATAGTACCCGAGTTCATCCAACGTTGACCTTTTCAAACAACACAATTCAGGGGTATCATGTTCTAATTATATGACATCTTAAGTCTACTGACTCTACTTCAACGCTTTCAGCCACTGCACCTGGAGCAAAAGCGGACTCTTGAGTAGATCTCTCTTAGGCTGCATCCCATGAAGGTATAGGTGCTTACAGCCCACTATGAACTCCCCGATATATTGGTTAGTATAATCCCCCAAAATCATCAACCAACCATCATTCATCAGCAATATCCATTTATAAACTATATTAAATGACCATAATTTGTAATAATCAACCAACAGGGGTTTTGAACCATAATTCCCGTTAAATCACCATTATATCCCATTCATGCCAATTAAATCATCATACATAAATCCCTACAAAATACCATAATAATACATCAAATCCCACAAAATTACATAAACTCCCATAAACCCTACAGCTCCAAAGACCTTCTGAGACTATATTTGGAGTTGCTTATATTGGGGTCTGTTTACACCTTCTCAGAGGGTCTTTGGAGCGGGAAAAATCCAGCATTACATAAACAAATCCATAAAAATCTCATAAAAAGTCCATACAATGTGAGGCCCCCAAGATAGCTAAGTTGGTTTATAACTCCAATAACTATGGTTTGTGGTAGTTATAACTATAGTTACTGTGGCTTATAAACCAACTTATAACTGGGGGGCCTCACATTGTAGAAATCCCATAAAGATCACTCCGTGACTTCCACGGACCGCCTGGAGAAGCGCCAGGGCGGCCTGCCATCGGCCGCTGGCAGCCACAGCGCGCAAGGCGCAGCTGTAGAGGACCACGTCGGTTCGGGTGTCCTCGAGTCGTGGGAGCCGGTAGGATAAACACATGGAGAACAAGCAAAAAAGGTAGGGTTATCGGTATTCCATGAATATCTGGTTGGTAGTATACCTACCCCTCTGAAAAATATGAAAGTCAGTTGGGATGATGACATTCCCTACATATGGAAAAATAATCCAAATGTTCCAAACCACCAACAAGATATGGTTTTATTTAGGGGATTTTTATTGTGGTCAATAGTGGGTTGATGATAATTAGTGGATTAATGTTGGTACTTGTTAGTAATGGCCATTTCAGGTACTTGAACTGGAGGTATTGTACTCTATGTGTGGCCATATTTTGTGGGGACATGCCCAGCTCTTACAAGGCCTTATGTATGGTAGGTACCTCCACTTCAGGTTCCTGACAGGGCCATTGAAACAAATATATGTATATTAAGACATGGTGATACGTATATATTTAGATTTATGTTTGGAACAGTATCTATTACATGTGTGTATATATATATATATGATCAATGCATTTTGCATGCAAATTGAGATGCAATTCATATCATATCTATCCTACCTATCATAAAAACAAAATGGAAATATAGAATGATGTGTGCATATATATATATATATATTTATATATATAATATGATATGTATATATAATATGATATATATATATAATATGATATATATATATAGGAATACCAATACTCTTTGTGAACATGTTTGTTCTGAAACAAACAACTACATATACGATAAACAAATGTAGTTGGTGGTATGAACGATTTCTGTGTATATATAACTATGTATTTGTTAGTATCATATACACAATGGAAAAACAAAACAAAAACAACAACATGTACCTGCAGAACACCCTATATCATTAGATTTAACAAATGTAATGCAATTAGTAATATTAAATCTGAAGATCCTAATATACTCATCGCACATGTTAAAGTACGTGTTGAGCCAGCCACACACACAAAGCTTGAGCATGCACAGGCAGCAAATGCAAAGCTTGGCCGATACCATGCACTCTTTGCTCACTCGGTATCTTTTGGTGACACAGCAGCACTGAAACACATTTCCTCTTCAAACTTTTCTCTTGCGCATATGTGCATTGATGGGGGAGTTCACGTGCACTAGTGTAAGGGCTTGTTCTGTGCTTTAACAAGCCGCAGCTGCTGTGATTTCGCTAATCACCCGCCAAGAAAGCTTTGTGAACAATTCAGCATATTAATTAAAATGCTATATACAGTATACAGCCTTGTGTCAGCGATCGACTTCTCATCACATTCAATCGATGGACACCACCGGCGTGACAACCGCAGGAACAGCAAGTGTAGTAGGCACGCTAGGAGCGGCTATGGTACTGTATCTATCTGGGCAAATTATAATATACTTCACTAACCTGAAATAATGCCATTTTGGGATGATTCCCCTTATTATCCATGATTCCAGGGCTCGGTCGCAGTGAGGTCGTTATAATTTGCCCAGTGTATGTATATATATATATATAGGTTTATAAACCATGATAACCCCCATTAACTATAGTTATATCTACCAATTAACTATATTACACACTGCATCCCTTCAGATGTACTTGGGAACCTCACCGGGGATTCGGGGATCCTTCTGATTGATTTCTTGATGATCGGTCACACCATCTTGTTGGCCCATGTCATCCCAAGCATCCAACAAAAAAAACATCCAAGGTTACCAGTTCTAGTTAGAATCAAATCCCTATCATTAGAACTGGTAATTAATCATGTAATTCATAGGGAATGATAGGGATATAACATGTATATTAAATCATATATATATATATCATCTTATATCCCTATCATTCCCTATCTGTGTAAAACAAGGTTCACCCCTTTTCATTTTGGTTCAAACCGATTCAAACCACAAACACCCCTGATAACCGCACAACCAGGTCTTGACAGCTCAATATGAAGTTGGTCCTATTACCATTCTGGTTCATTAAATATTGTTAGTAAAACAACGCCATAAAGCACCCATGACTGGGAATGGTTTATACATGCCACCTATAAAAATGGTGATGACTGGGGGATGGTAAACATGACATTGGTTTACCCACAACACAGAACTTTAAAAAAATAACATTTTGTGACTCGCTTCTATCAACACACGACTGGAAGAGTGCTTGGGCTGGACGCCAATTGGAGACCTATAGGCTATAGGCTATACTTGATCGTGACTAGATGATTTCTGACCCCCAAAGGGGTGAAAAATAATTGTTTAACCAACAGAACATGCTGATTTATGATGATCATTCGAGAAATTATAGCCGTCTGCATAGCTGGTTTGTAGTTGGGTGATTGTAAAAGGCCCTAATCAAACTGAGATCGAACTTGTCGAAAAAACTGGTCAGCGAATCACACCATTTTCATCCATGGCGATGGCTATGGCGACCTAAAAAAAAGGCTTCACTCCAAGCACGATAATAATAGTAACAGTAATAGTAATAGTTATTATACCATAGTAATAGTAATGCTTAATTAATAATACCATAGTTATACCCTAGGCCCTAGCCCTCGTCATAGTTATCATACCCCTAAAATTGGATGCTTAATACTCATGTTGATTGGGCAATCTTGATCCATTCCCATTTCAAGATCGTTTTCCCATGTCAATGAATAAGGGAAAATCTTAGCCGGAAACCATCGCTTTTTCTATGAAATATGGGGGGGGGTCCTGTAATTTTTTCCCTTCAACCAATCCAATGAAAAGCCCCTTTTTCATGGTAAAAACCATGGTTTCCTGTTTAGATGTTCCCTTAAACCCGTTAAGACCATGATTTTGCCATCCCAAACTGCCACTGCTCCCCGCAACGGCACCGGCACCAGGCGAGCCTTCAGCGTTGCCACGGCGCCCACAGCGCAGCGCCAGGGCGTGGCCACTCCCAAGGCTGCACTGAGAAGGACCACACCTGGGGAGCCATGGGAGGCCCTGGGAACATGGTTTCAACCTACCATTGGTTGGTAATATACTATTAATATATGGTTAATAATGGTTATGATGATGGTTAAAGATTGTTAATAATAATCTAGTTGGTGGTGCAATAACCATCTTGAAAAAAATCAGTTCGTCAATGGGAAGGATGACATCCCATATATGAAATGGGAAATAAAAAATGTTCCAAACCCACCAACCAGATGGTATAAACCACCCATGATTGGGAATTGTTTATACCATTTTATACCACGTATAAAAATTGTAATTTGGGGATGGTTTAATGTTGTTTCACCTACACGGGGATTTTAAGATATGAAACATAGGGATTTCAGCATCATGGGGATTTAAGATGATAACCAATGGTAGGTTCAAGCCACTGCAAGTGACAATATATATATATTTATTTATACATATATTTGAAGCAAATAGGAATATACTATATTTATGGTATGGTCCATGGCTATCCCTAAAATGATGGTTAATCTGCGGATATATAAGAAATGATGGGAAATGTAGGGACATCTAGAGAAATAGTGGGATACATACATATATGTATAGGGAAACATTGGGATATATTGGGACTACAAAAAAACATAATAGGATATAATAGGTATATACCAATGGAACACATTGGGATATTCTGACAAATATAGCCAACAATCCTGACATTGATGGGACGAACGTTAATGGCTTATCTCTAACCAGCAGAAATGGTATACACCAGTAAATGGTTTGTAATGAAAATCATCACATTATAATGAGTAGTGAAGTGGCTTATAGACTTGTCATATCCCATCTATAACTTATAGTGGTTTATAACCTGATGCTAGTGAGTTATTCAACCCAAAAGCAATCATGATTTGGAATTTAACCAACAGTAGGGAAGGTTCATCACACCAATAATGAAACCCATATTATGCCAACATTATCTCATTATTCAAGGAACGTATTAGGGATAGAATCATGATACAGTATGATTATGGTAAACTAGGGGTATATGTGTATATATATATATAAATAATGGATTATTCAACCATTGGAAATGGCATGACCACTTGGTATACTGAAGTACTTTGTGGGCTATAATAGCCGACAGGAATGGTAAAAAAAAAACTGGGTCTATGGCATGTCATGGGATGAACTGGATGAACATAGCCAAAAACCAACCATGATACGGATTCCGGATACTCAGGACTCGTAAGTGGTTAGTCAGCAAGGTTACTTGAAAACTTTTGCAGTCAATTATGGGGCTTGGGATTTTGATTTGGGGACATCAATTTGGATCCTTTGAATCCCATATAATACCCATACGAAATGATAGCTATGTAAAAAAAACATATATATATATGTACATAGGTACACGTATATGATTATATAACATTATAATATAACTAAATATATATATGTGTGTGTATTTGTATTTAGATCATGTGATTTATATATATATATATATAAATATATGTCATGTGATACAATACCAACATATACTTCCTTCATACTAAATATAACTGATTAAAATATATTTAAGATAATAGAGAATAACACACCATTCCCATCTCCACAGACACACACACACACCAAGAGGTGGTTCAGGGTGATAGATAGATATAGACAGTTGTATATATATATATGTGTGTGTCGAATAAAATTGAATCCGATGAAATATGTATACTCATAAGTATATATTCACATACATATATATATATATATATATGTACGTATGTCAGACCTACAAACATATATATATATATATATATATATACAGATACACATATGTCTTTTTATGTGTCGGTGTGTACATACCTGGATAGAAACACATAAATGTATATATGTATGATATTTATATTATATATATATGTGGCAGGGTGATATTTCCCATACAAGATTTAATTCCCAAAGAAAATGAGAATATATGTTAGAGGACCTGGAGTCCATAAATTAAACGGGGCATACTTTGAGTTCAGTGTCCTGAAATTCAGGCTCACTCCAATCCTCTTCCATTGCAGCTGGGTCAAATGTAGCCCAGCAACAAGCCAGTGAGAGAAAATGCTGCAGGGACGCTCTGTTACTAAACTTATGAACTTCCGCCGAAAATCCATACAACTCAGCAGAACTCAGGCGCACATTTTGTGATGTTGAGTTCCGCCGAAAAAAAAATCAGCAGAAATCCTAGGGAAAACCATTGAATCAGCAGAAGTCCACTATACATTTTGTGATGTTGAGTTCCGCCGAACCATAGGTCTGAATGCTAAGTTCCGCCGAAAAAAAAATCAGCAGAGGTCAGGTACATAATTTGTGTAGTGGAGTTCCGCCGAAAAACAAAAAAAAACATAGTCCGTAAAAAAAAACAAAACAAAAAACGCAACCGATTGGGGGGCACATGATCTCAAAAGTTCCGCCGAAATTAAAAAATCAGCAAATCTCAGGACGTCTCATGCCCCATAATCGGCCGCAACGGAAAAAAGGTCCACAAAGTCCGTAAAATAAGTTGCTGAAAAATTTAAGGTTTAGATCCTAACAAAATTGAACCTTTGACAGATTTGAGTTTTTTGGGGATTGTTACTATCTTGATTTGTTGGCTCTATGCACCTTTACTATAGTTCAAAAGGCATGTGTCTGGTACCATTTTCGGTCGCTGCTGCCTCCATATACCCAGTTAATCCCAATTAGATCCTGAAAATGTAAAATGCAATCACTTTAAAGCTGTTTGATCTGGGATCCCATTGAACAGAATTTCGATTTAGGAATGATGTTATTTCGAAATTTGGACTGGACATCCTTTTGCGTCAATAGAATTGGAAAAGGGTTTGAAAGAACATGGTTCCCAATTAGCGGCTAAAGGGCTAAAGGGTCCCAATTGGTTAAATAAGAATTGCGGACCAATGATCTCATTGGTCGAAGGAATCTTAGTTGTCGGCATGGTCATATCTTAGCAATCTTAGCAGGCTACCTGTATTAATATCAAAACCTTTCAAAGGAAGGGTTGATTTAGGTTGATTTATCTAAAGAAAAAGGTCCATGAAACCACATGTGGAAGACCCATAATCCAGGTCCAGAGCCCCAGCATCGATTGCAAAAGATTTTGAGCTACTTATGAATGGTATAATCTCCGAAATGGGGACCTAGTCAGCAGGGTTATTAACCACATACTAAGTGGGATGATCCTCCAAGTAGGGACATACTTCGGATATGTTAATCAATAATGATATAATAATGATGTAATGTGGATATAACAATGATTTGATGATGCCCCATGTGAGGTGGTACCACGCTTCTCTTTTAAGGCTAAGTTGTTTTAACGTTTTAACTAACTAGGGCTTGTGGTGGTTATATTGCACATAAATCTCGGGTATATCCAATATTCGATGTCTGCTCTCCAAACATCTGAATTTGAATGTTAGCCTGGGGTTAACTAAAGCGGATATGCAAAACAACCATGGTTTCCCGGTCAGAAAATGATCTACATACAACCAGCGAGCTTTCCGTATGTTTTTGTCAATGAATACTGTTCCCCCTGATATGCAATACCCTTTACAAGCCCTGGTTTAGCACTGCACCTATTCATTTTGAATCTTTATTGGGGGGGCGTTTCATATTCGGGGATATTAGGGGAATGTTAATAAAGTGAAGTATAAATCCCATAATATCACCGGGAAGGAGGGTAAATACAAACATGTTTCATGGTCCCCAACAGCCCAGCACCGTCCAAGCCACTGACTTTCATTCCACGGATTTCCACTTGAGACAAAAGCTGGAATGCCTCCTAGTGTGGTTTCGCGACAGGGGCGGATCTCTCAATTTTCCAACGATACCGTAGAAATGGATTTCAACAATCAAAAATGAGTATTTAACCAGTTGAGATAAGACTTTTTCGATAAACAATTGAATTTATATATACCCGCATTTATTTTTCGGGGAGATTGACCTAGCAAAGATGAGGATATGGAACCATTCCATAACCCATGGAACCCCAATTCAATGGGCTCTGGAAGATTATGTTCCAGATGTTGATTCCTGGCCTTAAATTTGCGGGCGGTATCTGGAACCACCAGGGACGAGATGGACGACGGCTTTCTAGTAGCTCGTTGAAAGTGCAGTCTTATCTACAGTAAACCCCGAACAGATAGAAAAGTAATCCTTCACTAATTGAGTACATAAGATTTTACTGGTTACAATATCACGTATACGATGTTTCCAGAGCTCGACACGAATCGCGGACTTCAAGGATTGGCTTCGTCTCAAAATGGTGGATTTACCTCCAATCAAGCCATGAAAATATGATGCAAATAAGGCCTTTTTATGGTGGGATGGAATGGACTTCCAAAATCTGAGTCTAAAACTTCATGGGATAAAATGGGTAAATTGTCACCTGGAATCGAAAATTTCGGTGCTTTCACCCATCTACCCATCCACCATTTTTTCGTGGAAACTACTCTTCCAACCCCCACTTTTTCAGCAGGGTCGAACTACGTCGAACTGCAAATGTTGGAGGGATGATCCGAAATTGAACCCAAAAGCCACCAAACAGCATGAAAAATCATCAAACACCATCTACCATCTGGTTATGACTAACAGTTTGCCATGGAAAATCACCATGCTATTAATAGGTAAACATAGGTAAACCATCTATTTCTATGGGCCATCTATACCATGGCTATGTTAGTCATAACCAGATGGTAAAACCGATCCTAAAACCACCAACTCAACCCCCCAGGCCTTCCATTCCGCTGCCCGCTCGCAAGCAGAGATGGCCGTAGAATAGGTCACCGGGTGAAGGCGCGGAGGGGTCCCTCTCTGGTGCCTTGGTGGAGTGGTGATATGAACAAACGATGAATGAGAATAATTAAGGCTGTGATAATTGTGATCATCTTAGCACTATTCACTATAGTATCTGTAGTAAGAGTCATAGCTAGTCACAGCTAAGCAATGCAATGCAATGCTGATATCAGGAACATGCTATTAACGCTATTAAGTATCATTATAAAATCACATCCATATAATCAACCTCTGGAAATGTCACGTATTTCATCGAAAATCACTGTCTTTATAAGTCATCATAAAATTAATCCATTTAACCATGGGCAATCTCCATAGCTATGTTTAACAACTGGCGAAATGCGAAGAACTCACCAACCAGGTCATTCCGGGATGCTATGTTTAACTTCGGCAGCAAAAGCTTCATCCCTATGAAACATTAACCTTAGTAGTATACACAATCATTAATATGTAATGATATGTAAATGATATGTAATGATATGTAATGATATGTAATGATATGTAATGATAGTGAATATTATGTAATAATATTTAATATTATGTAATAATATTGAATATTATGTAATGATTTGTACTGATATGCAATGAAATGTAATGATATGAACTGATATGTAATTATACGTAATGATATGCAATGATATGCAATGATATGTAATGATATGTAATGATATGTAATGATATGTAATGATATGTGATATGTAATGATATGTAATGATATGCAATGATATGTAATGATATGTAATGATATGTAATGATATGCAATGATATGTAATGATGTGTAGTGATATGTAATGATATGCAATGATATGTAGTGATATGTAGTGATATGTAATGATATGTAGTGATATGTAATGATATGTAATGATATGCAATGATATGTAATGATATGTAATGATATGTAATGATATGTAATGATATGTAATGATTGGTAATGATATGTAATGATTTGAAATGATATGCAATGATATGTAATGATATGTAGTGATATGTAGTGATATGTAATGATATGTAGTGATAGGTAGTGATATGTAATGATATGTAGTGATATGTAATGATATGTAATGATATGTGATATGTAATGATTTGTAATGATATGCAATGATATGTAATGATATGTAGTGATATGTAGTGATATGTAATGATATGTAGTGATATGTAATGATATGCAATGATATGTAGTGATATGTAATGATATGCAATGATATGCGATGATATGTAATGATATGCAATGATATGTAATGATAAGTAATGATATGTAATGATATGTAATGATATGTAATGATATGTAATGATATGTAATGATATGTAATGATATGTAATGATATGCAATGATATGTAATGATATGTAATGATATGTAATGATATGCAATGATATGTAATGATATGTAATGATATGTAATTATGTAATGATATGTAATGATTTGTAATGATATGTAATGATATGTAGTGATATGTAATGATATGTAATTTTATATAATGATGTAATGATATGCAATGATATGTAATGATATGTAATGATATGTAGTGATATGCAATGATATGCAATGATAAGTAATGATATGTAATGATATGTAATGATATGTAATGATATGCAATGATATGTAATGATATGTAATGATATGTAATGATATGTAATGATATGTAATGATATAATAATGATATGTAATGATATGTAATGATATGCAATGATATGTAATGATATGTAATGATATGTAATGATATGTAATGATAAGTAATGATATGCAATGATATGTAATGATATGTAATGATATGTAATGATACGTAATGATATGTAATGATATGTAATGATATGTAATGATATATAATGATATGTAAATGATCTGTAATGATATGTAATGATATGTAATGATATGTAATGATATGTAATGATATGTAATCATATGTAATGATATGTAATGATATGTAATGAAATGTAATGATATGCAATGATATGTAATGATATGCAATGATATGTAATGATACGTAATGATATGTAATGATATGTAATGATATGTAATGATATGTAATGATAAGTAATGATATGTAATGATATGTAATGATATGTAATGATAAGTAATGATATGTAATGATATGTAATGATATGCAATGATATGTAATGATATGTAGTGATATGTAATGATATGTAATGATATGTAATGATATGTAATGATATGTAATGATATGTAATGATATGTAATCATATGTAATGATATGTAATGATATGTAATGAAATGTAATGATATGCAATGATATGTGATTATGTGCAATGATATGTGATATGTAATGATATGTAATGATACGTAATGATATGTAATGATATTCAATGATATGTAATGATATGCAATGATATGTAATGATGTGTAATGATGTGTAATGATATGTAATGATATGTAAGTAATTATATAATGATATGTAATGATATGTAATGATATGCAATGATATGTGATATGTAATGATGTGTAATGATATGTAATGATGTGTAATAATCTGTAATATGTATGTACATATATATATATATACATATGTGGAGAGAGAGAGAGAGAACACCCTATATAAAGATATTAAAAAAAAGTAAAGGACCGGATAACCCCACAAGTCAACTTCTTCCAATAATGAGTTTCAAAGGTTGTAGCGGGGTCGGAGAAGGAAGGAAAGACAAAGGAGGTGGTGAAAGACTGTGTGTGAAAGTATGTGAAAAGATAGTATGCATGTACGTATGTATGTATATATATATATATGTATGTACGTACGTACGTACGTATGTCTGTATGTACATACGTACGTATGTATGTATGTATGTATGTATGTATGAATGAATGTATGTGTATGTGTGTGACAAAGTTGCGCGTCTGGTGGTGTTTCTTCCACTAGATAGTGACTTGTCACTGAAGGCCAGAAAAGAAACAAGATATGCTTACCACGGAAATTCTTTGTGGGATCCAAGGGTGTGTGCTGAACACTAGGTCTCACGACGTGTCTCACTCGCCTTCTTCGAGTTCCACCAGGCTCTGATGGTTTTTTCCCCGACGTTGCTTCCCGAAAGAGCTTTTATGGCAGAGCCCTCTATCAAAGCGATGGTGTGCTCTCCATACTTCCGCTGACCAAAGTAATGTTCTGCACTCTTTCGGGCGAAGCCGCAAATTTTGCGAACTCTTTCTGCATGCCCTGTGGCTGGTAATCATATGTATACCTGGTAAATAGTCATGATCAACTGCTGGCGTCATGGACGTGAGATTGTGCCCACCGCGTGCCACGTGAAATCAAGGTGTATGTCACCAAGTGCCATCAGTGAGGCGCCTGCCACGCAAAACGACCTTGCATGTAATCAAGGTGGACGTCACCAAGTGCCACGCCTGCCACGCAAAGTGCCGCGGCGTCACAGGCGACAAATCCGGACCAAGCGCGCCACCCAGTACCATGAGTGCCACGCCTGCCACGCAAAACGACGGTGGATGCGAGTTTGTGCCACGCCTGCCACGTGAAACGAAGGTGGATGTTACCAAGTGCCACGCCTGCCACGCAAAGTGCCGCGGCGTCACAGGCGACAAATCCGGACCAAGCGCGCCACCCAGTACCATGAGTGCCACGCCTGCCACGCAAAACGACGGTGGATGCGAGTTTGTGCCACGCCTGCCACGTGAAACGAAGGTGGATGTCACCAAGTGCCACGCCTGCCACGCAAAGTGCCGCGGCGTAACAGGCGACAAATCCGGACCAAGCGCGCCACCCAGTACCATGAGTGCCACGCCTGCCACGCAAAATGACGGTGGATGCGAGTTTGTGCCACGCCTGCCACGTGAAACGAAGGTGGATGTCACCAAGTGCCATGCCTGCCACGCAAAGTGCCGCGGCGTCACAGGCGACAAATCCGGACCAAGCGCGCCACCCAGTACCATGAGTGCCACGCCTGCCACGCAAAACGACGGCGGATGCGAGTTTTGTGCCACGCCTGCCACGTGAAACGAGGGTGGATGTCACCAAGTGCCACGCCTGCCACGCAAAGTGCCGCGGCGTCACAGGCGACAAATCCGGACCAAGCGCGCCACCCAGTACCATGAGTGCCACGCCTGCCACGCAAAATGACGGTGGATGCGAGTTTTGGGCCACGCCTGCCACGTGAAACGAGGGTGGATGTCACCAAGTGCCACGCCTGCCACGCAAAGTGCCGCGGCGTCACAGGCGACAAATCCGGACCAAGCGCGCCAGCCAGTACCATGAGTGCCACGCCTGCCACGCAAAACGACGGTAGATGCGAGTTTGTGCCACGCCTGCCACGTGAAACGAAGGCGGATGTCACCAAGTGCCACGCCTGCCACGCAAAGTGCCGCGGCGTCACAGGCGACAAATCCGGACCAAGCGCGCCACCCAGTACCATGAGTGCCACGCCTGCCACGCAAAACGACGGTGGATGCGAGTTTTGTGCCACGCCTGCCACGTGAAATGAAGGTGGATGTCACCAAGTGCCACGCCTGCCCGCGGCGTCACAGGCAACAAATCCGGACCAAGCGCGCCACCCAGTACCATGAGTGCCACGCCTGCCACGCAAAACGACGCTGGATGCGAGTTTGTGCCAAAACGACGGTGGATGCGAGTTTTGTGCCACGCCTGCCACGTGAAACGAAGGTGGATGTCACCAAGTGCCACGCCTGCCACGCAAAGCGCCGCGGCGTCACAGGCGACAAATCCGGACCAAGCGCGCCACCCAGTACCATGAGTGCCACGCCTGCCACGCAAAACGACGGTGGATGCGAGTTTTGTGCCACGCGTGCCACGTGAAACAAGGTGGATGTCACCAAGTGCCACGCCTGCCACCCAAAGTGCCGCGGCGTCACAGGCGACAAATCCGGACCAAGCGCGCCACCCAGTACCATGAGTGCCACGCCTGCCACGGAAAACGACGGTGGATGCGAGTTTGTGCCACGCCTGCCACGTGAAACGAGGGTGAATGTCACCAAGTGCCACGCCTGCCACGCAAAGTGCCGCGGCGTCACAGGCGACAAATCCGGACCAAGCGGGCCACCCAGTACCATGAGTGCCACGCCTGCCACGCAAAACGACGGTGGATGCGAGTTTGTGCCACGCCTGCCACGTAAAACGAGATGGATGTCACCAAGTGCCACGCCTGCCACGCAAAGTGCCGCGGCGTCACAGGCGACAAATCCGGACCAAGCGCGCCACCCAGTACCATGAGTGCCACGCCTGCCACGCAAAACGACGGTCGATGCAGGTTTTGTGCCACGCCTGCCACGTGAAACGAGGGTGGATGTCACCAAGTGCCACGCCTGCCACGCAAAGTGCCGCGGCGTCACAGGTGCCACGTGAAACGAAGGTGGATGTCACCAAGTGCCACGCCTGCCACGCAAAGTGCTGCGGCGTCACAGGCGACAAATCCGGACCAAGCGCGCCACCCAGTACCATGAGTGCCACGATTGCCACGCAAAACGACGGTGGATGCGAGTTTTGTGCCACGCCTGCCACGTGAAACGAGGGTGGATGTCACCAAGTGCCACGTCTGCCACGCAAAGTGCCGCGGCGTCACAGGCGACAAATCCGGACCAAGCGCGCCACCCAGTACCATGAGTGCCACGCCTGCCACGCAAAACGACGGTGTGTGTGTGTGTGTGAAGTGATTGTCTGTTAAGTTTGCGTATGTTAAGTTTGTGTGTGTGAAATTATTGTATGTGAAGTTTGTGTGTGTGAAATTATTGTATGTTAAGTTTGTGTGTGTGAAGTTATTGTCTGTTAAGTTTGTGTGTGTGAAGTTTGTGTGTGTGTTAAGTTTGTGTATGTGAAATTATTGTATATTAAGTTTGTGTGTGTGTTTCCGTGTTTGTGTGTGGGCCCTTCTTGTCTTGCCGTGTTGGTGTGTGCCCTTCTTGTCTGTTCCTTTTGTGTGTGTGAAGTTATTGTCTGTTAAGTTTGTGTGTGTTAAGTTTGTGTGTGTGAAATTATTGTATGTTAAGTTTGTGTGTGTTGTGTTACGGAGGCGGCGGGAGGAGGAGGAGAAGCCCGGGATACAGAATCAAAAACAAGAACCCCACACAAAGATGTGGGGAAAAACACGAGTTGTCAGTCACTATTTAGAACATGTTAGTGGGATGTGATTTCCTTTTCTGATGTTTTTTTTTCCCTTGAGACAATTGCTATGAAACCCATGCTAAATCATGCAATCCCTACAAGTAAAATCATTCTATCCCGATGTATATCATTATTATCTGGTTGGGGGGTTTCAACCCCTCTGAACAAATATTAGTCAGTTGGGATTATTATTCCCAATATATATATATATATATATATAGGAAAATAAAAAAAAATCCAAACCACCAACCAGTTATCCCATGTTATTCCTATGATATCTCCATATTTCCAGTTGATATCCCAAGAACATGTCCTTCCCTTGCATAATATCTTTATCACATGTACCTAGACCCTCCAAGTACCCTTTAAAATGGTGTCTTACTACCTTCCCCCATAATTTCAGTGGTTTTGTCGCATGACAATTTCAAGCATTCAGTCCTGCACTAATCCCCAACTCTGATCAACTCTGATTAACTTAGACTTCAACCATTACCATCTGGTTATTTAACATAGCCATGAAAAATCCCTTATAAATGGAGCTTTCTAGCTGGGAAAATCATCTATTTCTATGGGCCATCTATACCATGGCTATGTTAAATAACCAGATGGTATATCACTATATCACCATTAAAAGTGATTTTCTCCCCAACTTTTGATATAATGGTGATATAATATTATGGTGATATAATATGGTGATATAATGATATATAATCGTGATATAACCATTTGATGATAAGTTTCTAGGCTGCTTCTCATCCCAGCTTCAGCTTTCGCAGCGTCTGCGAAGCTCGCAGCCAGTGGGCTGTGCGAGCACAGGATGCGATGAAACTGTTGTAGATCTTGAGGCTGGGTTCCAAAGAGCCCACTTCCAGCCGATGCCTCGGAAGAGTTGTAGAACACATATGGGCATAACATAGGGGATATTTAGGAATAACATGATATGATATGATATTGAACTGATGGGATATTCAATTAGTTTTATTTGTTTGTAACATGATGTGAAACAGTGTAGCCTATCATGCTTTAAGCATGTACAATGCGTATCAACGAGAAACATCCCATTCCGAGCAGCGTTCCTGTGAGAACAGCTGGCCAAATGTTCCGAACCGAGAGTCACAATCTCCTGTGCTGACTGCCATTGAGACTTCTTGGAGAACGCGTCCAGTGCAACCTGAACAGGCTTTCGTTGGGTTGAACTATCGTTTTTTTTTGGGAATATTTCAGCGACCATTGCCCTGGAATATAGCTATTCACTATACACATACAAAAACATGCTTAGTTTAAAGGAAAAAACAACAGAATGCAACAGGAACATACAGGAAAGTATTTCCAATCAAAAACATGGGGGTCCTGCAATTCTGTCCCTGCAAGTGATCAAATCATAAATGAGGGTTGTGGTTTCCAGTCAGATTTTGATCTCATCCACTTACCCTTTGGCACCCTGGCACTAGTAATTTCCCACCATGCCCAGTGCCAGGTCGGTTGTGCCGAGAGACTCTGAACTCGCGATATTCTGCCGACATGGCATGGCCAAGCCCCAAACATTGGAAACGGTGCTGAGATCAGTTGAGCGGTGCCAGGGCAAAAATCGTGGCTGCAGTGTGGAGTGATAGTTGGACAGGTATATGAACTCTGAAGGTAGAAAGCTTGGATTGTGCAATTTCTTAAATGACGTTCCAGTTTGTAAATTAAGGTCTTACATGGTATTATGATATTTCGGTGGTGCTCAAGTCATCCCAACAAACAAATTCATCAATCAGTCGATTGGGTCTGATTATTGCACAAAAGAATGGACAGCAATACGCACTTGAACATTGAAAACTATACCCGCTGCGTATAAATAATGGAACTACTATGTGATGTGCATACATCAAAATCCGAAAATTCTCAATAAACATCTGCAATTGGCTGGGTATTGTATCTACTCAATAGAATTCTGTGACTGTGGCAAATGTTTGGTGTGTCATTCATCGATATGATTTCTTTCACCCACCCTAATACCTGCAATGTCTCACTCATTGCACCCCAGTTTGCAATCAAACATGGCTTATATACTGGACATGTTCCCCAGCCATCATCAGCTCTGGTAATTTAATGCAGCTATTGAAAATGACCATTTATAGTTGATGTAGTTGATATACCCATTAAACATTGTGATTTTCCATCGTTTTTTGTAGGTTTACCAGAGGGTACTTCAATGAGTTTCCCATTGAAATGCCCATTTTCCATAGCATTTCCCAAGTGTTCATAGCATTTCCATAGCATTTCCATAGCATTTCCCAAGTGTTCCCCCAGGGCCGAAATTTCTGGCCAAGCCGACGTTCGAGGCTTTGCTGCTCCGCCGAGTTTGGAGTCTCCTAGCGATCCACTGGAGGTACCACTGGATAGATCCCCTCATGGCCATTGATGATAGATTGTTATGAATATGGATTATTGATTATTCCACAGTTTTAAATGGTGTATATATTATATATATATGTATATACGTATATATATATATATGTATATGTATATATGTATGCATATGTATATATATATATATATATGTATATATCATATATCTTTTAAGGGACACCACTCCCGATACCCATGTCCAAGTTCCGATTTCACATGGTTTAACGTAGCCAATCTTTGCTTAGATACCCTGCAAAGAATAATTCTTTAAGCTGGTTAGCATACATCCCCTATGGCAAGACAGTAAAGACATGTAAAGACATCAAACAGCTACTCCAGTTGCTGTGCCCAGGATTTGGGATTAAATCCCAACAGTTGTGGTTGTGGATTATATCCGCACTTTTAAAGTAAAAAACCTCCGCGTGTGACCCAGCGACCCAGCCATCGCCTGGTTTTCTGTCCCAGCTGCGCCCGCAGCCGTGGCCGTGGTGCTTGGGGCGGCGCCGGTGCCAGCTGTGGCAGCTGGAGCCGCCTGGCGTTTCGGCTTGGGGATTTTCTGACCAAGACCCTTTTGTAGGGTAAAACTATTGAAATCATGCGGGTAAAACACTATTTTCAAAGTTTCAAAGGTACTTGAAGGGTCGATTGTGATTTTATCAGACAAACATGATGATTTTCTGTTGGTGGTGATTCCTGATGGTTCTGATTGGATTGGAGAAACTCGATTCGCAACTGAAGGGAGCACGATTGCAGAAAGTCACCAGGAACCATTGAGTTGCTTAAGGGGCGTTCAAAACCATGTTCGCAGTAAATCCCCAAATGGATCCCATGGTGCAACCACTAATGGGGTAAGTGGGTTGTAGCATGGGATAGTCATGTACAAGCCTATCATGTACAGTGGCTACAACATGCTACAGTTGCAACAGTGGTTCATAAATATCATAAATGACCTAATGTAAACCCGTTTCAGCTCTAAATCAGTTAAAGCCCTTTATACCAGTTACTTATATGGTTCGAAATGGGCTTATCGCTGACTTACTGTTTCGGGCCATAGCTAAAGGCCTTGTAATGTTCCCCTCAAGGCTGAGATGTCTTGGAAAGGTCTCAAAGTGTACCCCAGAAATACAATAGGTTTCAATACAATTATAGAATTATTATCTGGTTGATGGTTCTAACCATCTTGAACAATATTAGTCAATGGGAAGGATTATCCCATATACTATGGAAAATAAAAAAAATGTTTGAAACCACCAACCAGTTATTGTAAAATGCCAGACAAATAATTTTTAATCATCAGAACAACTAAGTGGTAGATTATGGATGATTATGGTAGATTGAACCTGTTCTGAATCTGTTTGAGCCTTACCCTCTTGTTATTTAACATAGCTATTCCAAATGCACCATGTTCATCCATTTTCCATAGCTATGTTGCATAACCAAAAAGTAATTCTCCAGTAAATCCCATTAAATCTCCATTTATAGATGTTTTTCCCATGATATTCCCGTTATCAAGGGACCTTTTCTGAAGCGAACAGCCACAACCAGCTGTGCTTTCTCGCCACTTCCGGCTCGACACATCTGCCTGCGATGTCTCCTTGCTTTCGCTTCCAGTCTTCTCCTTCTCCTGGTGTAGGAATTGCGGTTGGTGGGGTATCATACCTGGCAATGCAATCTTTGGAAAATGTTGAACATGCCCCTTGCTCAGATTCATGTATAAGCATTGATGTATATATATATATACATGCATGTTATATCAGTATATACACATGTATCTATTTACAACGGTTTTCTTCACGATTTTTGCATAAACTCTTGGCTTCCCAAATCTCATCAGCTCCAAAATCTCAGTTGTCGGCGGCCTGGATCACATCACCGGTGGTGCCCCAGTTCGTTAGCTAAATTGGTTGATAACGTCCAATATCTAGGGTTGTTTGGGGGGTTATATCTATAGTTAATGGGGATTATAAACCAACAAAACATAACTGGGGGGGTACCACCTTGTACAGTTTCATCATACTTACCGTAAACCATAAACCATTGGAATTATAAACCAACTTAGCCATCATAAATCAGCTATAAATCCCATGAACTCTCGATTTTTGTTGGTTAAATCCTAATTTTCCATAATTTTCCTATGGTTTTTCGAGGACTCCACCTTTTAGAAATCTAGATCCAGCATGATCCAGCAGCAGATCTCCTTATCTGCCGCAGGTTTCTGTGGCACCAACAGAGCATGGAGGATGGCCAGGAGCCATGCCTTCGACGCTTCGAACATACCGCTTGCCGCAAAATTTGTTGATGGAACCATGGGGAAACCATTGGGAAACCATAAATCATTCATCTGGGTAAATTATAATATTTCACTAACCTGAATGAAGGCATCCAATCTTCCTTAGCGGGCCCAACCCACCTGAATTAAGGCCATTTGGGGATGATTTCCCTTACTAACCATGATTTCCCTTAAAAATTACCAAGATTCATCTAAGGATCAACTATTCAGAATGGTCTTTCAACATCATTTTCCCTTAATATAAGTTGCCATGTTTCGTGGTAAATCTCGAATCAAGCGGTGCAAAAAAAAACAAACGTCGCTGCTCACATCTGAGGTCCACTCCGCGTGTCGAGACGAGGCGAGGTACAACCTGGGCGACCAACACGGTTTCTTCGAATCCCATTTCTCCAATATTCAATAGCCAACTTTTCGGGATCGCCAAATGAACATGGCGATAAACCATGGGTTTTGATTTGGGGATATCTAGGAGGGGCAAGGAAGTGATCCTTTCAAGCAACCCATTGAGTGCAAGCTTCAAGCTTAAAGCAGCAACCAAAGCTTGCGCGGGAACGGCTTACAGTACCTAGAAATTCTGTATTGGGAATCTAGATGCCACAAGCATTTTTAACCCTATGCCTATGGATCCTGGGGCCAATGGATGTCCGTCTCTTGTTGCAGGTTACTAGGGCACAATATCTCAATAGTATACCCAGTTTGTTGCTGATCCTGTGTCCAACACGCTTTTAAAATGTCGCAACATGTCGCAACACACTTGCTCACAACAGCCGAACCTCTATAGTTTTCTGGTGCTCACTTACGTCATTGTTGATAAAGTTCAATCCCCATTTCAGATGATCAAAACCCCATTGGTAGATAAATCACAGGTTTTTGCTGGTTCAAGGATCAGCTTGACTCGATAGATCCCCCTTTTGTATAGATGATCATATGGTACAACAAACGTATAATTAATATAATTTAATATACTTCAAACATATGTTGCTGAAATCACCTTTTTTACTTGTCAAGTGATCTTTTCCATGGTTAAATAAAGCACTTCAAATAGGTAAATCATCTATGAAACAAGAACATCATACAAAGTGGGGCCCCCTAGTTTATAATTTATAACTCCGGGGCCCCACATCATAGCTATGTTAGACTACCAAAGGGTACCATCTATTTTCACTCAGTGCCCAGCGTGGTCGTCAGCAGCCGCAGTAGCACGTTGACCTAGTTGGACAGCGCCCACACCAGAGCTACAACCAACAAACCACTGGCAACGTCGGGATATCACCAACAAAGATGTGCATACATATATATATATTGATGATCAATGTTGGCTAAGTTGGTTAATAACTGCAAGAACTATGGTTTGTGACAATTTTAAGTAGACTAATTGAGATTTACAAAGCAATCAGATAATCAACATCACGGAGGGTGGGGGGGGCACCAGCTTGTAGACGATGCTAGTTTTTACCCATTCAAAACCCAACAAATCGCAACTCTAGCTCTAATGATGTTGGTCTTCACCTTTCCAATCTTGGATATCCTGCAGCTGGCTAGAGTAGTATGTAATTCATACGCTTTATAAGTTACTGTATTATCTTTATTTGCAACAAACATTGGGGTTAATGGGATTTTTGGTGAGCGATAATGAGAAAATCATCTGAACATGGAGATCATTATGATTATATGATGAAATAATAATTGATATATATATATATAACATATACATGATAAATGATTAATGATAAATAATCACAATGATAACATAGCTTTATTATAATAATGATCATATATATAAATATTTAACATAGCTTTGGAAACAGGCCTATTGAGTTCGATGATTTCTGATGATAAATCCCCATCAAAAGGTTTGATTTTTCATATCTCACTTCCATAACCAGAGGTTAACCGTCTCATAAAGT